GGAGTTCTCTCTCTCTCTCTCTCTCTCTCTCTCTCTCTCTCTCTCTCTTCCTGTGCCACATGAGGACACAAGGAGAATACAATCATCCCCAAGCCAGGAAGAGGGCCCTCACTAGAACTCAACTATGCTGGCATACTGATTGGGCTTCCTAGCCTCCAGAGCTGTGAGAAAATAAATTTCCATTGTTTAAGCCTCCCATCTACTCTATTTTGTCATAGTAGTCCAAGCTAACTAAGACAAAAACATACCAAGGAATTTGGTGGTAAAAGCCTAAACCTTGCAACACTTTTATTCATGAAGTAGTTGACCTTGAACAAGTTGCTCTACAGTCTGGCCAAAGATCCTGCATCTGTATAATCAGGGAACTGGATGAGCAACTCTCACAGGCACTGCACAGAATCCCTGACCCCCACTTTGACTATGAGTGTACCTTGGAATTGCAGTCACTAATGATGCTGCGATAACTACGCGAGACAGGAAGAAACAATCACAGAAGGCAGCAAAGAGGAGAATAACAAAAACTCATGCATAAATTGCCACTCTAGCATACTCTGCAGTGCAAAATATAAAGCTAAGATAAGCATTTATGAAATCTGCTTCAAAAACAAAATCAAAATCCCATGCAACATTGCCACTTCTTTGTACTAGAGGTTAAGATGTACAAAAAGATGAAAACAATGCAGATAAAACAGGGAGTACTACAGCTAGAGAAAACATCATGATTTTCATCTCCTTCCTACTCTTCTTTGTGGTGTATGCTTATTTTTTCCGAGCTGAAGTATAAGGAATACTATAATTGCATAAAGAAAAGAAAATGTAGGATACTCACCCAGGACATAACAGTGCTGTCATGAAAAAGTGAGTCTTCCATTTCATACCTTTAAATGCTGTGGATGTAGAAAAACAGAACAGTTACTGTAGCAACTTGATTTAGTTCACTTTATAATATTTAAAAGCAAGGTACAATTACATTTTCATAGGTTGGCTAAAATTGCCCATACATTGTTTTAAATTTTTTTCTACATTTAACATAACAAATTACTGAAATAACAATAGTTGTAATACTCACTCTTATACATTTTAGCAGACACATATCCAGCTGGGGTTCCCAGAAGTACCCACAGAACAACAGCACATGTCATTAAACCACCTCGATTGGCAGGGGATAAAAATCCAAGACAGGCCACAACTAAAGACACACAAAGGAAAGAGGAAATCAGTGACAATAATAGTCTCAAGAACACACAGGGTTTTATAATAAATTTTAAACAAATTAAGAACATCACCAAGACATATTATTACATAATATATGAAACAACATACAAGGAAATGCTCTTAATGGGACTGCTCAAGTGATGCTGCCAACAAATGTTATTCCATTAGCTAATTCTTTGGCAATCTTCTTCTTAACAAAAAGGTCTGATTTTGAATTAAAAAGGAGGGAATGCCCAACATGAGAAGCAGTCCACACAGCACACTCCTAAAATGACAATCTCTGACCTCAGAATCAACCCTTAAACATTTCTGGTCTGGCTGAAAGGCCTGTGAGAGCATTTCAGATGTAGAAAGCCAAGACACTGTAGCAAAAATATCCTACATGGAGGATCTCTGTGAGTGAGATCTCGGTGGAAAGAAGGGGCCATCAAAGAAGGAGGTACTTTTCTCTGAAGGAAGGAGAGAATTTACACTTTTTATGGCCTTGTCTAAATACTGACAGAGGGGCCGGCACTGTGGCGCAGCAGGTTAACACCCTGGCCTGAAGCACCGGCATCCCATATGGGCACCGGTTCGAGACCCGGCTGCTCCTCTTCCAATCCAGCTCTCTGTTGTGGCCTAGGAAAGCAGTGGAAGATGGCCCAAGTCCTTGGGCCCCTGCACCCACGTGGGAGACTGGGAAGAAGCTCCTGGCTCCTGGCTTCGGATCGGAGCAGCTCCAGCCATTGCGGCCATCTGGGGAGTGAACCAGCAGATGGAAGACCTTTCTCTCTGTCTCTACCTCTCTCTGTAACTCTGTCTTTCAAATAAAAAAATCTTTAAAAAAGTAATAAATAAATAAATACTGATGGAGTTTGTGGTCACAAAAGGCTTCCATAGCCTAGGCAGCTCATGACAAGAGCCTCGGATGATCACTGATGTCATAAATAAGAGTGTCAATTGTTAAATGGACAACAGAAGTCACTGTGCACTTACTCCCCATGTAGGACCTCTGTCCTTAATGAGTTGTACTATGAAAATTAACTGCAAAATTTGTCCTCAAATTGTACTTTATATGTTGTGTGGGGGTGGGTGCAAACTGTTGAAATCTGTACTTAGTATAGAGTTGGTCCTCTTTATATAAAGTTAAACTAAAAATGAACCATAATGAAGAATGGGATGGGAGAGGAAGTAGGAGGTAGGGCAGGAGTGGGTGTGGGAGGGTGGGTATGGGGGAAAAAACCACTATATTCCTAAAGTTGTACCTATTAAATTTGCATTCATTAAATAAAAGCTTTTATAAAAGGTCTGATTTTCAATCCAAGACAAATGGAACTAGGTTTTCAAGCTGATTTAGTCCTTAATTAATTAATTGTCTATGTCAAAATTAAATAAATATCTCCTCTTTCCTTACTCCAGTAGTCACTCCAAAAACAGCGAATCATTTTTTGCCACAAAAAAAAAATCCTTCTGTTCCCTTTGACTCAAAGTGAAGAATTAAAAAGAAATCAAAGTAAAATTTGATCTCAGAAAAAAAAATCTTAAGAGCTGAATTTTGAAAATATCATTGACATGTGAAACATCTAAAAAGACACTTTTTACAGCAACTTTGTTTACAAAAATGACTGCCTATCAAAAACTGACAAACTCCATTTTTAGTTTATTAATGAAAGCAGCTAGGGTTCATCAGCCATTGTGAGACTACTAAAGGTGCCATTCTGTTCATACACTTAAAGAGAAGTTTTTAGGCTTCCCATAGCATTTAAAAACACTAGCTTTGAATAATGAACTCCCTTAGCCTACTGAAAATATGATTTTACTCATGTACTGATTTTCTAGAATGCACCTATTTTGCAAAGTAAGGAATGTGTGTATTGGAGTTCACAATAAATTTTTCAGAACTGAAGAAGACACGGAAGATCCTTGATATAGGAACATATTCAGACTCATCCTTAATTCCAAATAATATAAAAGTAAGTACTATATTGTGGCTGGCACTGTGGCATAGTGGGTAAAGCCGCTGCCTGCAGTGCTGGCATCCCACATGGGCGCCGGTTCAAGTCCCGGCTGCTCCACTTCCAATGCAGCTCTCTGCTGTGGCCTGGGAAAGCAGTGGAAGATGGCCCAAGTCCTTGGGCCCCAGCACCCATGTGAGAGACCCTGAAGAAGCTCCTGGCTCCTGGCTTTGGACCGGCACAGTTCCAGCTGCTGCAGCCAACTGGGGAGTAAAGCAGCAAATGAAAGACCTCTCTCTCTCTCTCTCTCTCTCTCTATCTCTCTCTCTCTCTGCTTCTCCCCTCTGTAACTCTGACTTCCAAATAAATAAATAAATAAATATTTTTTTAAAAAAAGTAAGTACTATAGAACACTGGGATGGGTATTTGGCACAGCAGTTAAGACACCACTTGGAATGCCTGCATCTCATATCAGAATGCCTGGGTTCAAGTCCATCTCTGCTTCCAATCCAGCTTCCTGCTAATGCACACCTTGGGAGGCATCAAGTGATGACTCAAGAACTTGGGTCCCTGCCACTCACACGGGAGACCCAGATTGGATTCCAGGTTCCTGGCTTTGGTCCGGCCCAACCCTGAGTGCTGCAGACATTTGGGAGAATGTACAAACTAGTGGATGGACAATCTCCATTTTTCTGTCTCCAACTGTCTCTGTCTCTCTGCCTTTCAAATAAATTTTACTTTTTTTAATTTTTTTAAAAGCACACCTTTCCTTTCCTTAAACTTCAGGGTATAATTTTCAAAGTCCTTTTGTATACATGGATCAAATATAAAATATGTTAGCAGTTCACTGAGAATGTTTAAGGTATATCTAAGCTTACTCACATAAAGTAATCAATGACATCATCAAAATTTGTACTCCTTGACCTAAAAAGACCGACAGCAATAGTCCATTCTCTGGTGGTCTGAACACATCCCCACTAAGCAGCTTCCAACCAAAATCCTGCCGGACAGTACCCTGTGTATGAGAAATTCTTTAATAAACACACAAGTGACTCTAACAGAAAGTTACAAGAGTTATGAAAGATTAAACAGAATTTTCCTTGAAACTAGTAGGGGGCCAGTGCCGTGGCGTAGCGAGTAAAGCTACCACGTGCAGTGTCGGCATTCCATTTGGGCACTGGTTCAAGTTCCAGCTGCTCCATTTCTGATCCAGCTCTCTGCTATGGCCTGGGACAGCAGTAGAATATGGCCCAAGTCCTTGAGCCCCTTATACACATGAGGGAGACCTGGAAGAAGCTCCTGGCTCCTAACTTCAGATCGGCACAGCCCCAGCCATTGCAGCCACTTGAGGAGTGAACCAGTGGATGGAAGACCTCTCTCTCTCTCTCTCTCTCTCTCTCTCTCTCTGCCTCTCCCCTCTCTGTGTAACTCTGACTTTCAAATAAGTAAATAAATAAATCTCTAAAAAAAAGAAACTAGTAGTTCATTACGGTTTTAGAAGGTCTCTGGAAGATGATCTAGCAACATAAATGAGTCAGTCTCTTATTCTAGGTTTTGCATTAGAAGGATATGTTAATTATATGAACCATAAAACTGGCTGGTTTTTCATTAAGAAAGCAAAATGACTTAACCTACATAAAGAATTCAACCAATTTCATAGAAATTTAAAATTCATAAATACAGAAGTGATTGCAAGAGTCAAAACAGTATAACCTAAATTACAGCACTCTGCAAAATTTGGTATACTTATTGCATACTTCAAATCAGCAAAAAGTTTTAAGAATGCTATTTTTTGAGTGCTCAGAAATATATAAAAAAAATAATCAAACAGTTGATAACAAACCACCCTCTAATATAATTACCTATACATTTAAAAAATCTACACAACTCTGTGTTCCTGATTTGGCATAATAGATAAAATTACTAGGCATAGAAAATGTGTTACATTCAAGGTACTGTATGCTAAGTAGAAAAATGACATTAAAATTGTACAGAGTAGACATTGAATTATTTATTCAATCAAATATGTGCATTTTTACTTACAGAAGAACGTTTCTGATTATATCTTGTAATATCTCTATGGAGAGCCTGTACTATGACTACAGCCACCATGCCAGATAAGAAAAGAACAACAACAAAGGAATTGGTAATGCTAGAAAATTCAAGAAAGAGAAAAAGGATAAAAGTTAAATCTCAAATTCCTTAATTGAGCACTCAAACAAAAAAGAATGTATATATAAAAGAAAGGCATTCAAATTATCATTAAGTCATTCAGTTTTCTAAGGCTGAACTTTGATCAAAGACTAAATGCATCAATATATTTAATGAACTTAAAGTTATATCACAAAAAATATAACAAATAAAGCAATAGAAGTAGCACTATTCTTAAAGCTATCTAAGAATTTCTTAAAGGTATATTTCCAGGGGCCAACTCTGCAGCATAGTGGGTTATGCCTCTGCCTGTGGTGCCAGCATCCCATACGGGTGCTGGTAAGAGACCAGGCTGCTCCACTTCCAATCCAGCTCCCTGCTAATGCACCTGGGAAAGCAGCAGAAAATGTGGTGCTTGGGCCCCTGCACCTACATGAGAGACGTGGAGGAAGCTGCTGGCTCCTGGCTTCAATCTAGCCCAGCCCTGGCCATCGCAACCATATGGGAAGTGAACCAGCAGTTGGATGACCTCTCTCTCTCTCTCTCTCTCTCTCTCTGTTTCTCCCTTTCTTTGTCTGCAACTCTGCCTCTCAGATAAATAAATCTTTAAAAATAAGAGTATATTTCTAAAGGGAAACAAGGAGAAGTGAATAATATCAGGAACACAAAGTTAGTTCTACATATGGAACTGAGAATCCAAGTTCAAGAGTCAAAGGTTGAACTGATGTCTATTATTAACAAATATACAATCCCATAGTCTATTTTACTTGATCACTCCCTGACCAATTATCTACCAACTCTTGCTTACTATTTCTAAAATGAAAACTTGAAAACTATCCCCAAATCAGAACCAATGCCTTTTACCCTCCCACCCTCGAGCCAAATCTGTACATATCTAAAAATTTTCACAAGAATTGGCACTATTTTAGTGAAATACCAATAGGATGAATTATGTCTAAAATGTCTGTTAAATGTTATAAGCAAATTAACTTACACCAGAAACTAAAGCAGATTCATTGTTACATTATAAATGTTAATACAGCTAGACATTTAGCCCCCCCCTCTCCAATCTATCTGGAGGCTCCTCACTTTAAGAACCCCTCTGGAGAAACTATTTAAATAAATTTAATGAGGGGCTGGCACTTTGGCATAACAGGTAAAGCTGCCGCCTGCAACACCGGCATCCCATACAGGTGCTAATTCAAGTCCCAGCTGCTCCACTTTCAATCTAGCTCCCTGCTACTGTGCCTGAGGAAGCCACAGAAGATGGCCCAAGTGCTTGGGCCCCTGCATCCACATGGGTGATTGGGAGGAAGCGCCTAGCTCCTGGCTTCTGATCAGCCCAGCTCCGGCTACTGCAGTCATTTGGGAGTGAACCAGCGGATGGAAGATCTTTGTGTCTGTCTCTCCCTCTCTGTGTAACTTTGCCTTCAAAACAAATAAATAAATCTTTAAAAATTAAATTGTATCTGAGACTTCTGGGGGAGGGGTAACAAAAGAAGACCTGGACTATCGTCCAAACAGAAAACTCTGGAAATGTTATAGTAAGGAGGAGGTGGTGGTGAAAAACAAGGATAAGAATAGGAATAGGACAAGCAGTAGGAGGAGAGGAGGCACTTTTAATTTTTAAGGCAGTGACAGTAAGAGTATCATAACTTTGGAAGACCATATTCATAGTATCACACCTCTCTTTACTTTCATTTTTACTTTTAGTCTTCCTCCACCAGAAATTTCTTTATGACAGGATATGAGGCTAACAAGGAAAAAACCACTATATATACACATCTATTTCTTTTCAGCTTCTCTGATGAGTCTCCTAAGCTTCAACTTAGATGCTACTCCCACTTACAGCACTTTACCAAACCCACAGTCATTATGTTGTCAATTGGTCTACTCCTTGATTCTGTGTTAAAACTACTGCTTCCAGTCATAGAGTCAGAACTCTGTGGTTTGATCCTGATCAAAATTCTGAGGAATCAACACCTTGCACTCTGAATCCACTGGAATGCGACCTTGATGAAAGCAGAATCCTTGTCCGTCGAATTCCCTACTGGATCTCAGAGCCCAACATCATAGTCTGCATCATAACAGGGACAAAAAAGAACCCTGCAAAATGGTTCTTCACTGATGCACATTCTCTGCACACAATCGCTTCCCCTCTCTGACCTGCCTTGAGAAAGCCGTCACTTGAAAGTTGTTGGTTTGGCATATGTAGTCTTTCACCTAGCTCTTGTCCTCTTCCCAGTTTTTTGAGACATCCTTATCTTCCTCTACTCTCAGTTACTGTTTCTCCTTACCCTCCAGTTTGCTCAAAGTTGCTCTACTTACAAACAAGAGTTTCCATTCTATGTGCATACTGTCCACTTCCACAGTCGCCTCCTGCCTTCTCCCCACCAAGAATTCCTTGTATGCAGGCAGACCATCCCCATGGCCTCCCAGGTTTCTCTTTCCCCTTCATCATAAACACTAGTGTATTTAAAACACATTTTCCTTCTTTTATTTGTGTTGTGTCTGAGGGGAGGTAAGGAAAGGAGAGGAGAGGGGACACTAGCCTAGAGAAGACAAAATAATGTCACCCAAGAATATCTGCAGTGACAAAAAGCCTTAATTTTTAAATATATATTTACATTTCCCAGCCCAAATCTATTCTTTATTTCATAAAATGCTCACCTGAACCACTGAATGTTTGTATTGGTCATAGATTCCAAAACATAATCCCACCTGGAAGACCACTTCACATCCTTGTTTTCCTATACAAAAATATACAATCACATGATGAAACTTTAACAGAACTTTTTCTGATTACAGTCTTGAAACAGACAGAATATCCATCCCACAAGTGCTTTCTTCAATGATTTCTAATTTTATGGGAAAATGAGATTTACCTTGAAATTTTTGTCTTATTTTTATTTATTTATATTCTACCTCCTTTCAAAAGGATATTGGGAAGAAAATTTTAGCTTACTACTATTCAACAGAAATAGCATCTTTTTGCTACTTTTCTATGATGTCTAATCCATCCCATTCTCCATTTCCTTTTGTCCAAACCATATTTCCATCTTCATTGTAACAGTATATCATAAGGTATATAGGTATATACTCAATAAGAATCCCTGTAGCTCTGTTCATAAATTTAAAAACCCAGAACTAAGCAAAAATGCCATCAGAGGGGCTGCCGCTGTGATACAGTGGGTTAAGCCATGGCCTGCAATGCCAGCATCCCATATGGGCACAAGTTCGAGTCCCCCTGCTCCACTTATGATCCAACTCCATATTAATGTGCCTGGGAAAGAATCAAAAGATTGCCCAAGTCCTTGGGTTCCTGTAACCCACGTGGGAGACCCAGCAGAAGAAGCTCCTGACTCCTGGCTTCAGCCTGGCCTAGCCTTGGCCATTGAAACCATTTGGGGAGTAAACCAGGAGATGGGACATCTCTCTCTCTGCTTCCTCCTCCCCTTCTTTCTCTGTACCTCTGCCTTTTAAATAAATAAATAAATGCTTTTTAAAATACTAAAAAAAAGAAGTTCCTGGCTCCTGGGTTCTCTCTGACACAGCTCCAGCCCTTGTAGCTACCTGGGAAATGAACCAGTGGATGGAAGATATTTCTCTCTCTCTCTCTCTCTTTCTCTCTCTCAGTCTCTCTCTCTCTCTCTCTCTCTCTCTGCCGCTCCTTCTCTATAACTCTTTCAAATAAATAAATAATCTTAAAAAATAAGTCCTACTTTTCTTTTCTTTATTTATTTGAAAGGGAGAGTAAGAACCAGGGCAGGGGGAACCTCCCAATTTCTAGTATACTCCCCAAATGCCAGCAGAAAGCAGGACTGGGCCAGGACAAAGACAGGAACTGGGAATTTAATTTGGGTTTCCCACATGGTTGGCAGGGACTAAGTATTAGATAATGCTGCCTCCCAGTGTGCTCATTTGCAGGAAGCTAAAATCGGAAATGGAGCTCGGATTCGAACTCAGGCACTCCAGTATTGCATGTAGTGTCCCAAGCAGCATGCTAACCACTGCACCAAATGCCTACCCCATGCTGAAGATTTCTTTTTAAATACTGTATTGAATAAAACAGAAGAAAACACAATTATGAATCAGGTTTCTGCTGATGTGTGATCCAATTCAACTTGTCAATAGCTTTAAAACAGTCCCAGTAGGTAAATATATTAAATGGTAATCTTTGATAAACACTTAAACTATCAATACAATGTTATTACCCATCAAATTAAGTACATGATTTTAGCAAAAGAAAAACACTGGCAATGACTGACTAAGATATGCTTGAAATAACTTATTATTTAAAATTGAGTATCTACAGCTATTAAGTTTGGCAGCTGAGTTACAGAGAGGCAGAGGCAGAGCGAGAGCGAGAGCGAGAGAGAGAGAGAGAGAAAGAGAGAGATGTCTTCCATCCACTGGTTCACTCCCCAATTGGCCACAACGGCTGGAGCTGTGTCAATTCAAAGCCAGAAGACAGGAGCTTCTTCCAGGTCTCCCACAGGGGTGCGTGGGCCCAAGGACTTGGGCCATATTCTACTGCTTTCCAAGGCCATAACAAAGAGCTGGATCAGAAGTGGAGCAGCCCGACTGAAACCAGTGCCATTATGGGGTGCCAGCACTGCAGGCACCGGCTTTATTTGCTATGCCACAGCACCGGCCCCAACTAAAATGGGTTTTAATCCAACAATGGATTTCAGCTAAAATCTGATGACCATGTGACCATGGTTACCAGTGACAAAACAAGTTAACATCATATGCCTCCTAATGTGAGGTATCACTTCTGTGGTATGCCTACAAAGAATGCCCGGCCTGAATCTGGTCATGAAGAAGCATTAGAGAGACTCAGGTTCATGGTCAGCCTATAAATGTCAAGGATTTTCTTTATATACAGAAGATCAGTTTAGTATACATGAAAATGAATCTTGATAAGAATGGAAGGGGAGAGAGAGCGGGAAAGGGGAGGGTTGCGGGTGGGAGGGCAGTCATGGGGGGGGGGAGTCAATGTAATCCATAAGCTGTACTTTGGATATCTATATTCATTAAATAAAAGTTAAAAAAAAGTCAAGGATTAAAAAGACTAATGAAACTATTCCAGATTAGAGGAGACAAAAAAAATGAATGTGACACATAATCCCAGATAGGATTATCAACCAGAAAGGGACAGGGTGACATTGTTGGATAGTTGGTGAAAATGGAGTAGATGGATATGTATTGTATGGTAATATACCAGTATTGATTCCTGCTAGTTTTGCACAGTTATCTTGCATTGGAGAAAAACTCTCTGGGCTGTTTATAAGTGGTTGGACAACATCTAGCTCTCAAAATATTCATAGAAAAACTAATGATAATGGCTATACATACAGAAGAATAAACAATGTAACAAATGAGGTAAGATGTTAACAATTGGAGAACATGGTTAAATAGACTAGAGGAGTTCTTTGTGCTGTTATGGCAATTCTTCTGTAAATCTGAAACTGTTTAAAAATGAACTATTTTGGGGCCGGTGCTGTGGCATAGTGGGTAAAGCTGGTGCCTACCGTGCTGGCATACCATGTAGGCACCGGTTCAAGTCTCAGTTGCTCCACTTACAATCCAGCTCTCTGCTGTGGCCTAGAAGAGTTGTACAAGATGATCCAGTGCTTGGGCCCCTTTACCCCTGTGGGGAATCCAGAGGAGGCTCCTGGCTCCCAGCTTGGGATAGGCCCAGCTCAAGCCACTGGGGACAACTGGGGAGTGGGCCAGCAATGAAAGACCTCTCTCTCTGCCTCTGCCATCCGTTAGAGTATCGCTCCAACAGTAAATTGTGTTAAAATCTAATATAATGTGTCTCTTAACCAACCTATCCATTGCAGTGAGTTAACTTATATCAAGTCTTTTAAAAAGAAGGTACTTTAAAATATGCCCTACACATGGAAAGCCAAGACACTCTGGCCAAAAAAAAAAAAAAGGACCTAAATGAAAGATTGTGAGTGAGAGCCCAGTGGAAAAAAACAGGTCTTCAAAGAAGGAGGTACCTTTCTCTGAAGGGAGGAGAGAACCTCCACTTTGACTATGACCTTGTCTAAATATGATCAGAGTTGGTGAACTCAAAAGGCTTCCATAGCCTTGGAAACTCATGACTGGAGCATAGGGAGATTACTGATGCCATAAACAGGAGTGTCAATTTGTAAAGTCAACAACAGGAGTCACTGTGCACTTACTCCTCATGTAGGATCTCTGTCCTTAATGTGCTGTACATTGAGATTTAATGCTATAACGAGTACTCAAACAATATTTTTCACTTTGTGTGTCTATGTGGGTGCAAACTGTTGAAATCTTTACTTAATGTATACTAAACTGATCTTCTGTATATATAGAAAATTGAAAATGAATCTTGATATGAATGGAAGGGGAGAGAGAGCGGGAAAGGGGAGGGTTGCGGGTGGGAGGGAAGTCATCTGGGGGGGGGGCAATGTAATCCATAAGCTGTACTTTGGAAATCTATATTCATTAAATAAAAGTTTAAAAAAATATGCCCTACAAAGATTAGATTTGCAATACAGGCCGGCGCCGTGGCTCAATAGGCTAATCCTCCACCTAGCGGTGCCGGCACACCGGGTTCTAGTCCCGGTCGGGGCGCCGGATTCTGTCCCGGTTGCCCCTCTTCCAGGCCAGCTCTCTGCTGTGGCCAGGGAGTGCAGTGGAGGATGGCCCAAGCCCTTGGGCTCTGCACCCCATGGGAGACCAGGAGAAGCACCTGGCTCCTGCCTTCGGATCAGCGCAGTGCGCCAGCTGCGGCGGCCATTGGAGGGTGAACCAACGGCAAAAGGAAGACCTTTCTCTCTGTCTCTCTCTCTCTCACTGTCCACTCTGCCTGTCAAAAAAAAAAAAAAAAAAAGATTTGCAATACAAAGAGAGCCTAGACAATCTGCAGTTGTGATGCCAAGTCATTTCGGTACCAAATACTGCCACCTGCTGGAAATAATAAACTATAGCACATATTATTCTTTAAGAAATTGTTTAAAACTCCCAAAGCACACTTGAGAACAAAATGACAAACGCAAAAAGATAACTAATTGATGGGAGCCATTTTAAATATATTTAAAATTAACTCCCAAATTTAGGTCCTGGAGATTCAAAATCTTTCTTTTAAAGATTTATTTATTTGAAAGGCAGAATTACATAGGAAGAGAAAGAGAGAATCTTCTATGCACTGGTTCACCCTTCAAAAAGGACCACAACAGCCAGGGTATGCCAGACCAAAGCCAGGAGACTGGAACTCCATCTAGATCTCCCAAATGGGTGGCAGGTTCCCAAGCTCTTGAGCCATCTTCTGCTGCTTTCCCAGGTGCATTAACAGGGAGCTGGAGCAGAAGTGAAGTAGCCAAGACTTGGACCATAGCTCATATGTGATGCCAGCATCACAGCAGCAGGAGCTTAACCCACGGCACCACAATCCTGGCCCCTCAAAATCTTTTTTATAAGACATAGCAATTTTCATAAAATCATAAGAGATAAAAATGCCTTTAATGTTAGCAACAACAGAGGAATATGAAGCAAAGGTAGAAACAAAGACAGGATTTCCTGATCCATAGCACAGTATCCCATTATGGACTTCATTTGGACATTACACAATGTATACAAGTATAGGAACATCATACGGATACGGTACCCCCAAAATACGTAAAATTTTAATGTCTTTATTAAATTTTTTTATTTTTTAAATAAAAATACATTTATCTATTTATGAGAGACAGACAGAGTGCAAACTCCC